ACGCTGCTGCCGGATCCTGTTTGAGGAAAAGCAAGATGAACTCAATGAGTACCTGAAAATACAGAAGGAGCTGGAGGCAGAACTGGAGCCCCTGGGCTCAGTGGAGCAGTTTGAGGGCAAATTTCTGGGACGGTTTCGGAAGATGATCTGGAACCTCATTGAGAACCCGTACTCTTCTGTCCCAGCAAAGATCATTGCTGTCATGTCGAGCATCTTTGTGCTTATCTCCATCATGGGCATGACACTGAGCACAGTGGAGGAGATGAAACACAAGACAGGGAAGATGTGGATTGAGCAGGTGGAGGTGGTCTGTGCCATCTTCTTCACCTCTGAATACCTCATGCGGCTTATAGCCTCCTCCAGCTTCAAGAAATTTTTGCGGGCAGCGTTTAATGCTGTGGACCTGGTGGCCATCCTGCCCTTCTACATCCAGATCCTCTTTGAAAATCTGGACGAAGGAGAAATGCTTTACCATGAGGAACTGCACAAGGTGGAGAATGTGAGCAAGCTGGGCAAAGTCCTCAAGCTCATCAAGCTCATGAGGATCTTCCGCATCCTCAAGCTGGCACGCCACTCCACAGGCCTCCGGGCCTTCGGCTTCACCATGCGCCAGTGCTACCAGCAGGTTTGCTGCCTCCTCCTCTTCATTGCCATGGGGGTCTTCACCTTCTCTGCTCTCATGCACTCGGTGGAACATGATGTCCCAGGCACCAACTTCACCAGTATCCCCTACGCATGGTGGTGGGCAGCGGTAAGGTGTGAGCACCTTCTTCCAGAGAGGGGTGCAGTGGGGCTCCGTGGGTAGGGGCTGCCCTGGTGCTCAAGGGATTCACCACTGCTGCTGGCCAGGAGGCAGAAAAGGGCCCAGTCTTCCCGACAGCTCAGTAATGGTGGGAAACCGAGAGCCCTGCATGCTCTGAGAAAAGAAATCAGAGATTTGGACTAAGCTCAGAGGCTTGAAAGCTGGTGCTGGGGTGGGATGGTGGGACAGAGGTGGTGGCCTGGAAACCTCCAGGCCTGGGTTAGTGACAAGGGGGATGTAACTCAGCCTGGGCTTCATCTGTCATGGGACCCAAGTGTTGGGTGGATGTGGTTCAGACCCCGTGGGCATGGGGACAGCCGCCTGGGACAGCCTGAGTCTTGTGCAGCATTGCAGCCCGGCTCGGCTCGGGAGGCTTGAGGGGGTCAGAGCTTGTGGGGCTGAGCCGGGGGACCCAGGGCTGCATGCGAGAACCAAGGGAACATGGTCACACCGTGCCTCAGCCCGTGTCCTGAGAGAGGACACAGACCGGGGTGTGCTGCAGCCCGGGACAGGAGCCCTTGTTTGCTGCTCTGCTCATGCTGGGAGCCGCCAGCTCTGCTGAGCCGAGCGCTATAGTAAACCTGGGATTACCTCCGAGATGAGGAGCAGCTAAAGCACTTGAGAGCCAGGGGTTATGAGGGCATTTTGATTTACCAATGAAATGATGCCACAGATCACTTCTGCTCTTATAATCCCCCTTGGCCACCACAGGCTGCCTGCTTCAAATTCATCCCTCCTCAAGGAAGTGCAAAATCACTTTGCAAAATCACCAGCTTTGCATATTTAAATGTCACAGGCTGATCCTGTACCTGGTCAGCATGGCTCCATGCAAAGCCCAAACCTCTCTGCCTCAGCTCTCACCCTGTCCCCATAGTCCTGCTCCCCTGTCATCCAAAAGCGATTCCTCTGGGTGCATTCCTGGGCAGTGCCTCTGTTTCCCTTGGAGGGAGGGTCTGGGAAGCTTCGTTCCTGTGGGACTGGGCAGCTTACAGCCAGGAAGCACCGGAGCCGCTGCTCCGTGGGGGCAGGAAGCTCCAGCAGACAGTCTGGCTGCTGGGGAAAGTTCAGCCCGGTGATGTCCAGCTGCTTTTGAAGAGACACACGCGAAGGGGAGGAGGGAGCAGGGAGACTTGCCTCCGGTCTCTGCTGTTGGGGCCTCATCCAGCCCTTTCCTTGGGTTCTCCAAACCTGCCAGGTGCAGCCCGGGGAGCTGAGCCCTGTCTGTGCAGGCTGCTGGAGCAGGGACAGCCAAGCTGGCTGCAGCTAAAGTGCAGTGCCGTTCCCAGGGGATACCCGGCTCCCACACAGGGGCAGGGGGAGGTGGGTCCCAGCACCAGCAGGCGAGGTCTGCTGGACTTGTTCATGTAGGATTTTATCCTTTCCCTTCCTCGCCCAGGTCAGCCTCTCCACTGTGGGCTACGGAGACAGCGTGCCCGACACGGTGCTCGGCAGGGTGGTGGCGTTTGGCTGCATCTCCTTTGGCATCATCCTCAACGGCATGCCCATCTCCATCCTCTACAACAAGTTTTCTGACTACTATGCCAAGCTGAAGGCCCATGAGAACAAGACCAGCCACTCACTCAAGCTCTCCAGGAGGATCCGCTTGAAGGAGCGAGTCCTGCGGAAGCTGTCAGAGTGCTGCAGAGATGACCCTCACTGTCACCACTGACCACTGGCCCTTCACCCCCCGAACACCCCCTCCACCATGACGCGTCCTGCCCTCCAGCCTGGCCGTCCCTCCAGCAGGTCCTGTCTCCTAGGGAGGCTCCACAACTCAGGCAGCGAGTAGCAAGTCACAGCAGCGTCTGGGGGGGGGTCTGCTGTTGTACAGGTGCTGCTGCCAGCTCGGGCTGTTTGGAAGGATGAAACATGCCTGTGACTGTGTTGTGACCTTCCTCAATATTGCGTGCTGGACCCTGCTGTCCCGCAGAGTGGTCAGTAAAGGACCAGCTAAAGACCGCGCTGTACGGCCAATGCAGGACATCTGTCTGTCGTGGTCTGGGGCATGGGGCACCCCGAGGACACAGGAAGCAAGCGGTGGGATGCATGAGGCTGAACTCTGTCACCTTTCTGAGGATGGTAGAAGTAGACACCCATGATGAGATGAAGGCCGGTGTGACACCTGCACAGGTGCTGCTCTGCTCCCGGGTTGAGTGGGACATACACAGCCTCGCCCTGCCAGGCAGTAGCCCAGGACCCCATGACTCCTTCCCAGCCGAGCAGACGTTCAGCCCAGGCTGAGTCCAGCATGGGGATTTGGGTGAAGGCCTGCAAAAAGGACTGCAGCCATGCGTCCTTCCAGCCAAACCCACTTTCCTTCCCACTGCCCTGAGAGCCTGAGGGCACGGTCCTGGCTCAGGATGCTGCTGCAATAGGAACCGCGGGCACCCTGGGGGTGCAGAGCTGGTAGCCAGAGCATCCCCAGGAACAGGCATTTAATAAACCAGGCCAAAACCATTCATTGTCTTGGATTATTGGCCAGCCGCTTGGTGTAATTCAGTAAAGTGCTCGTAATTCGGGGGTGAGGAGGGGATGTCTCCCCAAGGCTCACAACCACCTCTCCTGCAATCTCTCTCTCCTGTAAATCTCTCTCTCATCGGTGGGAGGATGGGGCTCTTGTGGGACACGGGTGAGCCTGTCTGCATATTGGTTTTGGGATGAGGTGCCTGACCCTGGGTGCATTGGAAGAGGAGCTGGGACATCTGCATGTGCTCAGGACGCACCAGTTGGCTCTGCCCTGTGTTCACATCCCGGGGGCAGTGGGGGACACGTCTGTGGGGCACAGGGGAAGGATTTGCCCCTCCAGTGTGGGACCGTATCTAGTCAATGAGGTCCCGGGGAGATTCACCCTTCCCCTGGGTGGGATGGGGAGAGGGATGCCAGGCTGCAGGGCAGGCAGTGGCGAGGAAGGGCTGACAGCTGCTGGTGCTGCTTTTGGGTGAGCAGTGGGAGGAAACTGGTGCCCGCCAGGCCAGGGTGGGATTTGGTCACTTGCGAGCTGGGCTTGGAGATGAAGAGCTGCTGGGGGGGCCTGGTGTCAGCCTGGGACCACGGTTAAGCCACTGCTGTTAGAAACTGTTGGAAAGAGGCTTGGAGGGGCTGAACCCTCTGACAGGGACAGCCACGCTCCCGCCGATTCCTGGACCACAGGGGACAAGGGAGCTGTGCCAGCAGGTGCGAGACAGGGACCCCTGCCCTGACGCCCAGCACCTACACCCACTCCCTGGTACCCACACTGACATCAGCCCTCTGTACACCCCCCCAGCACCAACCCGGCCCCACAACATTGGTCAGCTCTGTTTTCCACCCCATTTCTCTTCCACAAGGAACTTTCTCTCTGGGCACGGTGCAGCCTCCTCCAGCCATCTTCACCCAATACTGTCTTTCCCCACCACCCACCCGCCCCAGCAGCATCACCTCCGGGCACCTCTACAGTCCCCCTCAATCCCAGACCCTGTCACTGCATCTCCCCACGCGCCCCCATCACCTGCTCAGGGATCCCCTCCCAGCCCCCATTGTCGGCTGGCTGATGGATCCTGAGATCATTCAGCTTCCAAGGAACGGGGCTTAGCAACTGAACCCACCCCTGGAGACTGTGCTGCAGCTGAATCTTTATCTCTCTGCTTGCATCACCCCTCCCTATGGCCGCAGGGTTTGCTCGCCCTCAGCCAGCCCCGTCCCAGGCAGCGGTCCCACAAGCAGCCCCTTGGAGAACGGCACTTTTAATAGTTCCTCTGAATTCATTTTACAAGTCACAACAATGCAGAAATGTACAGACATTTACAGGACATTGTACAAGCGGTTTCTGTCATATATTAGTGCTTTTGCTATATACATATAGTACAGCTTGCGGGAAGCCTCTGCACAGGCAAGGAAACCTGCGCCCCTGCACAGGGCACCCCAAAATGGAGCTGTTGCCCCAGGGCTGCCCAGTCGCACAGGCTCACTCAGGTCAATTTAATCAGAGCTTGGTCGCACGGGCTCATTCAAGTCGATTTAATTAGAGCTCGGCCCTGAGCCTTCCCGGGCACTACCGGGGGGTGATGCCAACTGGGGCAGAGCCGGGCATCCCCTTGCTTTGCTTGCCCCAGTCTCTTTTAGAGGGTTTTGTGGGAGAGAGACCCTCGCAGAGATGCTCTGGAGGGAGTGGTAGCAGCCTCCGCCGTGGTGGCGTTTCCACCTTCCTGCTCCTCCTGCCTCAGTGGCAGCCGCAGCTCCCGGCCACCATGTCGTCATACTGCTTAAGGACCACGTTCTCGTCATCGTCAAAGTAGAGGAGGTTGATGGAGTAGAGCTTGTCGGGCACGCAGCAGGGGCTGCTGACGCCCTCGCTCAGCTTGAGGGCGTTGATGATGGACTGCACGGTGGCATGGTTCGTCGGCCGCATGTTCTCACCCAGCGGGAAGGGGCAGGAGCCCTTGCAGTGGTAGGCGTTGTACCCCCGCGGCGAGATGATCCAGCCGGACCAGCCTCCTCGAAGTCCACAGACAAGGGATGCCTCTGGCAGGGCTGGAGCCGGTCCAGCGAGCGTGTGCTGCGTGGCCCAGTCAGCTTGGGCACCGACATTTTTTCAGGGAGAATGGGAGCCTGAGGCTGTAAATCTGCCAGAAAGGAGCACCCGATGCCATTAGCCATTGCACAAGCCTGGGAGGAGGGAGAACATGGTGCAGCACCCCCCCCACAGGTTTTTGTCTGCAGCTGTCTGGTGCAGCGAGCCCTTTGGTCACAGCCTGTCACCAGCCCAGGCAGAGCCACCAGGAGGTGACAACTTCACAGCCCCACGGCCACACGCATCAGGGCAAGCAAAATCCAGATTTACATCTGCGAGTCTGCACCCCTGCACAGACTAAACCAGAAAGGAGGCGGCCTCTCCTTCTGGCCAGAGAAGGAGCTTTGGATTTGAAGGAGCCCAAGTGCAGGGTGCACCCCAGCACCCCGCAGGCGAGGAGATGGCAGCACCGAGGGAGCCATGCCAGGGCGTGTGGGACCCACCTGGGAAGCCAGCCATGGGCAGGGACGCTCCCCGGCGCCCGTCGTCCGTGAACAGGACCAACATGGGCTTCTTGCTCTCATGGTGGTCCCTGCTGGTTGCGAACTGCAGCAGTGGGGGGTCGAGCGGGCTCCCGCTCAGGCCCTGGACTGTCACCAGCAAACCCTGGTTGCTGCTTTCGTCTTCGGTCCAGTCACGAACCTGGGGAACCAAACCGGTGTCACCATGGCACCACAGGCCAGGACAGGCACCGCGCTGGTGTCCCCACGGCAGGTGCCAGGCCAGCAGACCCAGCACCCTGTCAGCAGTGGGCCAGCATGAACCAGGACACCCCCCACCCCCCCCCCCCATGCCCACCCCCCGTCCCCCAGCCATGGGAAGGGGCTGTGCTGCTCTGGGGACTGTGGCACAGGGGACATCGTGGCAGGAGCCAGCACCAGCGTTATCTGTGGAGCAGCAGGACTGGTCTGGGGCAGGATGGAGCAGCCCCCCCCGAGGCTCTTGGCAGGGCTTTTTCTTACCACCCCTCCTAGAGGCTGTATCC